AATAAAAAGGAATACTACGACAAATTACTATAACTGAAAAAAAAAATACACAAGGAGCATGGAAAATATAAAAAAATATTATTAATAATAACAATAGCAAAAAAGCCCAACTGAGGCTCTGACCAGTGAAAGTGGAATTCCTATAAATGAACATGGAGAAATTGCTAATTCAATTCAATTCAATTCAAAAATACTTTATTAATCCCAGAGGGAAATTGATTATGCACTAAATGATTATTTTGTAAATATCGGGACCAATCTAGCTAATAAGATAGGAAAACCAAAAGGTGAAATGGATGTTACTGAACACATAACTGCTAATATAGATATCATGTTTATTAAAGACACTGATGAAAAAGAAATAATTTCCACTGTAAAAAAGTGTAAAGACAGTAGATCCAAAGACTCTGAGGGTTTTCACATGTCATTGATACAAAGTATACTAGAATGTATTGCAAACCTGTTTGCATACATTTGTAATCAGTCATTTAAAACAGGTATTTCCCCAGTAAAATGAAAACTGCAAAAGTTATACAAATATTTAAATAAGGTGATAAAAACAGTCATCCAACTACAAGCCAATCTCTCTATTGTCTCTGTTCTCCAAAAAATATTTGCAAGCAGATTTGATGATTTCATTGAAAAAAATAATCTACTAAGTGAGCATCAGTATGGATTCAGAACAAGAAGATCAACGGCAATGGCAACAATTAGCATGGTAGAGGAAATAGCTAAAGCAATTGATAATAAAAATTATACAATAGGAATTTATTTAGATCTTAAGAAAGCCTTTGATAGAATAGATTGCAATATCCTCCTAACCAAATTATATAAATATGGCATAAGAGGAATAGCATATAACTGGTTAAAAAGCTACTTAACAGGAAGACAACAATTCACAGAAATCCAAAATGTAAAATCACCTACAAAACTGTGGGGTACCTCAAGGTTCAGTGTTAGGACCCAAGTTATTCACATTTTACATAAATGGCATCAATAAAGTAACCAATCAATTGAACTACATTCTCTTTGCAGATGATACCAGTATGTATATCACAGGGAAAGATATAGAACAACTATTGAGCATGGTTGGAAGTGAACTAAATATACTAAAGACCTGGTTTGACAGTAACAAATTATCATTAAATCTAAGTAAAACTAAATACATTATATTTGGAAAACAAAAACAAAACACTCTTCCTAAATTTATGATAAATGGGGTAGAAATAGAAAGAGTAAATAAAATTAAATTCTTGGGTGTCACATTACAGCAAAGGCTGAGCTGGAAGCCGCACATAGAAAATGTTAAAACTAAGATGTCTAAAATTATTGCAGTGTTAAATAAATCTAAACATATTCTAAATGGAAAATCATTATTACTCTGATACCAATCATTAGTACTTCCTCATATGATGTACTGTCTGGAGGTCTGGGGAAATCCTTACAAATCTCACATAAAACCCATAGTTTTACTTCAGAAAAGAGCAATACGAGTAACTACCAACTCTGATTACCATGTACCAACGCACCCCCTGTTTATAAAACTAAAAATACTTACATTTACAGACCTGGTCAAACTACAAACAGCACAAGTACTCTATAAAGTATAAAATAAAATATTTCTGGATTGTATTCAGAAGCTATTCCAAGTCAAAGAAACTCAGTATGAACTAAGGGGAGAAGGACAATTTGTGAGAGAGAAAGTAAGAACAAATGTTAGAAGTCAGAGTTGCACAACAGTAGTAGTCAAATTATGGGATAACTTGGACACTGGAATCAGGGTATGTAAAACTGTTAAATCATTTTAAAAAATGCACGTCAAGAAGATGATGCCATACTACCATAATGACCGTATGTGAGCTAGAGTATCTGATAGATGTGAATGAAAATGTAATGTTCTTGCACAAGTTATAGCATTTTAATCACTGTTTTGATCATTGTCATACATTGACTTATTAAGATTACTGGTAGTTTGTATAGTTCTGTCTTTAGTTCTGGGTATTTTTCCTCTTGCTGAATTATGGTTGTTGTTGCTCAATATATTTCAATTATTATTATCATAATTATTATTTTTATTTCGCTCTCATTTTTATTATTACATTACTTTTATCTTATTATTGTCATTTCTGTTTTTTGAGAAGTGATGTGATGGAGTAAATAGGGTAGGCATAAAAAGCTAGACTTCAGCCTTTTGGTTACTATAATTGAGATTCTGTATTACTGTGTTCTTTCTTTTCCTTTTAAATGGCCAAAATGAATAAATAAACATGAGGCTGAATCTGATAGTCTTCCACCCCTATTTTCTGCATTAGTGCACACACACACACACACACACACACACACACACACACACACACACACACACACACACACACACACACACACACTAGTCCAAATTCAGAGGGACACAATAGTAACCATATTATATTGTTATATGGTCCATAAAAGTGTCAAACGTTCCCACAACCCAGTGTTCTCCATGAATTCAGTTTCATCAGTAGCCATGGCAACGTTGTGGAGCCAAACAGTCACCATGTTATCAGCTACCTGTCAGGTACTTTATAAAGTCTTTACTTTGATGTTCTAGAATCTCTTTTTCTGGACTAAAGCCTTCTCTTTCTGTGAGAAACCAGTGAAGGGTCATGATTAAATGAGCTTTTGTTAATGATAAATGATAAATGATAAATGACCCGCACTTGTATAGCGCCTCTCAGAGTAAGGACTCCAAAGTGCTTTACACTACAGTGTATCATTCATCCATTCACACACACATTCACACCCTGATGGTGATGAGCTACAATGTAGCCACAGCTGCCCTGGGGCGCACTGACAGAGGCGAGGCTGCTGAGCACAGGCGCCACCGGTCCCTCTGACCACCACCAGCAGGCAAGGTGGGTTAAGTGTCTTGCCCAGGGACACAACAGCAGAATTCTCTGTCTGGAGCCAGGATTGAACCTGCAACCTTCCGATTACTGGACAACCCGCTCAACCTGTTGAGCTGCTGCTGCCTAAAATCCTGCTGTTAATCCCTCTAACAGCAGTACCTACACAAATGTATGAAAAGTTTAAACTGTTATTTAGCACAATTCCATAAAACATGTAATTTTTTTACAACCAGTTGTTTTATTTGGTGTTTTAATTTGAACCGAATGCTGCTAAGCCCGCTTTACTGTCTGTGTCAGCGCTCAGCCGCTGACAGACGTTCAAGGTTTGTGACGAGAATGGACACAATTTCAGAACATTTGGGATCAAGGCCATAAAAGAACCATAAAGGGCCTGGAATGAGTTGAAGGATGTTTAATCATACTTCAGGGTATTGAGGAGGAAGCTCAGCAGTGGGAACAAAGAAGAAAAACATGAATATTTGGATGTGAGTTTTTCCTTTAGTGACAGTAATCAGTTCTGTTCTGTAGCTGAGACTTCACACATCTGCTCAGGGCTATGTGACAGCCATCGGAATATTTTAATCTTGGAAACGTCAGAAAACGCTCCACAGACTTCCACGCCACTGTGCGTTTCTGATGATAAACAGAGGCTTTACAGGTCAGGAGTTTTTAAACAATAAAGATAGATGAACATCAGCACCCCCACACAGGTACTATCAGTAAAATCCTCCTCACTAGGGTCCCAGACAGCTGGTGTCTGTCCACAGCAGAGACAGGTCTCATCCACACCTGGGGACAGTCCCACGTTAAACATGAATGTGTTTGGTCTGTGGGAGGAACCCAGTGAAAACACACGCATGCAGAGGGAAATCAAAAAGGCGGCAGCTGGGACTTGAACCTGCAACCTTCTGCGAGGCAACAAAAAATGCTTTTACAGGATTCAACATAAATGTAAACGTGCGGTGTGTTCTAACCTCTTTAATAGATTCAGATTATTTTTTAAACAAAGGAAAATAAATTGCAGCTTTTGATAAACAGAGTTTTCTTGTTTATTTATGACAGAAGGGACAATAAGGACGTATTCTGGTCATGTGAAGGTTTTATTCCACTCTGACTTTTGGAAAGATCTGGTGTCTTCTGCATCAAGCAGCTTTTTCTGGTCTACTGATGGTGTGCAGCTGTCCTGCTGGAGACATTTTGTGTCTCAGGACATCATCAGTGCTTCACCAGACTGGGGAAATGGTCATACTACATTTGTTTGCAGCCCCAAACAATCATTGAGTAAATGGTTTCCTTTGCAGTGTTTTTTATTCTCCAGGGATGCAGGCACAGTTAGTGTGAGGGAGCAGTCCTTCAGAGTGATGCTGTGCAGATACTCCAGAGGAGTAACCCCATCACAGTCCTGCTCATGTTTCCAGCTAGCAGAAGCCAGGCTTGACTCTGTTTTTCAGCCGGCAGCTCCCTCATCACATCAGGTGTGATGTGCAACAACAAAAACAGAATACCCCCCCCCCCCCCATGTCATTCTGTCTCCTCCTACAGCGCATCTCTTTACCTGCTGATGCTCCAGACTGGCAGAGCTGTTGTGTGTTTGCGTATCCTCCAACTGAGAACAATCTGGGCTAAAAAGCAGCTAGTCTGAAATCTGACAAAGGCCTGATTGTCCCCGGGGCAAACATGAAGAAAAGTGGCAGTTTGCATGTTTGCCTCATTCCTATAAATGTTCCCCTCTGCATGCGGACGCTCGTAGGTCTGCCAGGGCCCGCAGCCGTGCAGCCTAATGAGGGGAGCACACCACACAGGACAGTAAGGAGCAGCTTGTTAGCATAGTCCTCTGCCAAAGAAGGTGCTGCTGAGCTCCTGCTGCACTTTAATTGGAGGATCCAGTCAGCTTGTTTGTCTTGACAGGACCGAATGTCAGTGACTTTCAGGCAGCGCTGCAGACAACACACCGCCATCCATAAATGAACCGTGAGGGCATGAATGGTTCTGTTCTGCCAGCTTACATAAAGTTTGACATTCAGCCATCAGCAGCGCTGACGTTCCTGACAGCTCTCACAGGGAACCGTCCTGATAATTAATTAAAATGTAGAAAAGAAATTCAAACTACTTTACCTGTCTTTCATGTTGCATGTCTCAAACTGAAGCTCGTTATAACTTCCCAGAAAGCCTTGCTGCACATGAGTGAGATTCAGCAGCTGGTTGTTGATGGAGATGAGCTGCATGCAGCCCTGGAAGGCAGGAGTGTGGACATGACAGTCCATGGGAGGACAGCCTAGACAGAAGTGACACCTTTAGATTTACCCTTCTTTGTTCACTCTAAACAGATGCTGACAATGTGGGAGTTGAGGAAAAGCTGTGAGAACCTGCTAACCTCCGAAGTAGAAGCTGCCTTTTGATTCGACTTGTTCCCAAAGGTCTACGTTGGAGGACGGCTCGCCGTCCACCGTCAGGCTGATCCGGAGATTCCTGCAGGTGAGGCTCACAGCGTGCCACAGTCCGTCGTTCACCCTGCGACCTGAACAACATCAAACATCAGCCTAAAGTCTGGGAGGGGAACTTTCTCATCAAAACATTTCTGCTTCAGAAGGTCATGATAAATACACACTAAGGAGCCATCCAGCATAATTAAACATCTGTTCAGATTATCTTGACATAAAGAAAACTAACAACCTGGTTCTTCCGGCATTAGACACATACACTGGAATCTCAGGATTTCACTCTGGTTCTGATGTCCCCAGAGGCTCCCGCACCAGGAGCAGCCCAGCTGCCCCAGGCCATGTCACTACCTCTGCTGTGGTTCACTGTAAGGTTTGATTCAACTGTTGTATACCTGTTCATGTGCATGACAGCCTGTGGGACGGGACTCGTGCTTTAACACAACACAAAATCGTTTATAATGCTTTCAGCTAGATAGATAGATAGATAGATAGATAGATAGATAGATAGATAGATAGATAGATAGATAGATAGATAGATAGATAGATAGATAGATAGATAGATAGATAGATAGATAGATAGATAGACAGATAGATAGATAGATAGATGATAGATAGATAGATGATAGATAGATAGATGATAGATAGATAGATAGATAGATAGATGGATGGATAGATAGACTTATTTTGTGCCCGCTCCAACGACGTTCGCCCGCTTTCCACCTGCCCCCCCCTTTCCACACACACACCCACAGCCTAGATCCCTGCACGGGCCTAAAATCTGAGCCCGTGTCCGGCCCGGCCCGAGGGGGTGGAGCCCCAGCCCGACCCAGTCCGAAAAGGTTTTCAGGATTCTCTGGCCCGAGCCGAGCCCGACTTTTTTTAACCAACTAAATGAAAAACAAAGTGCGTCAATCCTGACCAATGTGTTAAAAGACGTGCAGGATCCGATCAATTTGTTTTTCCCTCATTTACCGTCACGGAGATAACGGCGCACTGGCTCTGGTGTTAATCAAGTTAAATTTTATCTCTTTGCAACAATTTTCACAAGAAAACAGAACAGTTAAAAGCAGGGCTTGTGTTGACCGGATAGTTCCCGTATTTGACCGTTTATTTTGACGGAGAAAGAATAGAAAGAATTACCCCGACGCATGCAGACGAACTGACATTTTATTCTACGCACATCGCAGATGTAGCTAAATCACTCAAGAAAAGATTTCCTTCTGAACATCTGAGCTGGATACTGCTCAGTGCAGCTCGCTGTCAGCGCATATGTGCACAGCGAGCTGAAGTTGTGGAGAGGGGCTTGGAGCGCGTCGCAGAACCAGAGCGCATGCGGGAAGATTCCTCCCACTGAAGCGAGTGTTTTCCAAACCCTGTCTCTCAGAGAGACTTGTCATTTATAAAATGTTCCCTGATTATGAAACTTTGGCTGAATAGTGCTTGTTCCTGTCTCCAATGTGGCGACACATCCAGGAGCCTGTCTGAGGAGAATCCCAGAATCTCACTTCCTCTTCAGCTCAGAAAGCGCCTATGATTACGCACAAGCGTGACCCGTCAACCCGGTCTCACAGTAAGACCGGGTTGGGCCTGTTCAGGTTTACGCAGACAATCTTTACATTTAGAATTGACTTACAGATATACAATTAATTCAGTAAAATATAAAGCATTTTATTTAAATATACATTAATTATTTTACAAGCACAGAGAGCCGCATCAGATGGATGGAAGAGCCACGGGTTGCCGACCCCTGGTATAGCCTATAAAATGACGTTTTTTCCAGGACCAGAGAGGACGCAAACTCAATACATCTCTTTTATTGTGAGGTAATAATTTCTCAGAGTTTTGCGGTTGCGGGCGGGAGTAGACATGCACACTGCGGGTGCGGGCGGGAGTGTAACACACACGTTGCGGTTGCAGGCGGTAATGAAATTCAGCGGGAGCGGGCAGGAGCGGGATGAAGAAAACAGTCCCGCGCGCCCTGCATAAGTATGCAGACGACATGGCACTGGTGGCATCAGTGAAGACATCAGACATTAGTTGACTTTTCATGCTTCCTTTAACAGACTAATATGTTCATCTGAACTCCACTTAGAGCAGAGACACATTTTCAGATCCTACATCAAAGGCTCATTTCAGAAAGATGAGTGTGAATGATCTCAGCCTTGCTGTGTAAGTCTGACAAACAACGATCTGTCCGCTAAACATTCTCACTGGACTGCTGAGGCTCATCCGTCACAATCCTGCCATTCACGGTGTTGTCCGTGAAAGAGATGGTTCGGATGTTTAATAGGAGCCATTTATTTTGTGGAGTTGCTCTGGTTTGGATAGGAGCCTGTCTGCTGCTGGGAGGCTTTCAGCTTCTCGACAAGCCAACAGCAAACAGGAGGAGCGGAGTCCAGCAGAAAGAGTCGGAGTTCATGACGCAGTCTGAAAATGAAGCCGCTGCTTTCATGATGGCTGCAGGTTTACAGGTTTGGTGTTGTGATTGTGTAAAATAAGACGTGCTGCTTTAGGTCCACCTGTTCTTCCTCAGCACAAACAACATTTAGGGAGTTCTTCAGCTTCTCTGAGCATCTGAGTCAGTTCAAAGTTCTCATTTAGACCTAGATACTAGATTTAACCAAGTTTACACAAACATGTCAAAAAATGCACAGAAACAGAAATATTGCATTTGTAAACACCCAATTATACAGTTTTCAAGCAAAAAAAATGTTATTTTTGGTTTAGATGCTCTTAAAATAACCAAAACTACAGAACAGGAGAGTTTTATTGTAGACTTCTTATTGTTGGTGTGCTAAGACCCAGATAGCTGGACATTCCTTACATAACTGGCCTGATGTGAACGCCAGCCCTGATCCAGACCTTATCATGATTATTTACTGCTGACGGTTTGCTTCAGTGATGTAAACAAAACAGAAAATCCTGTCATCTGCTGTCTGTGTGTCACAGATGCACATCATCTGTCTAAAAGCTGCTGGTTCACACCTACAGGTCAGTGGAAAGGTGTGCGCTGTCTCACTAGATGTTAATAAAGAGCTGCATGTGCTCCATCTCTCGAAACATTTCAGTTCTGCTTCCAACGGCGAGAAGAGCATCTCCACATAATCACTTCAGAAGACTGAGGCTCATTTTCAAAGTGTTACAGCCTTGAAGAGATTCAGCCACGCCTCCCGTCTAATCAAATCAGCACCCAGATGTGTTTGCATCGTGCCTCTGGAGCTCACAGGGACACGCTGTTGAGCCTAATGCACCCTGGGAGTTGTTTCGGTTCGTCAGAGATATCATCGTCCAGCCTCTTGAGAATTTCTAGTGATGCCTGTCGCTATCGGCACAGCCTTTTATTGTGAAAGGCTGAGTGCCACAGGCGTTTTCTCCTCTCTCCATGGAGTAAGTCAGGCAGCCATCAGCAACTGCTGCTGAGCATTAATCCAAGCAGCCTGTCACACTTTCATGTCAGATACATCTAATCTGCTGCTGACCAGCCCTGTTGGGTCAATCCAAGTCTCAGATCTAATCCCACTGTTACTCAGCCACTCAGCAATGGAATATTTTCATTTTATGTCCTAAAAATCGTTTTTCAGTCCAAAAATGGCGTCTTTGGAGTCACGTTGAAGTCATTAAATCTGCAGCGTTACCGAAGCAGCAGCAGCAGCAGCAGAGAGCGGTGAAGAAGGCAGCACCTCATTCTGCATGCTGTTACGCTCCGAACCCTCCTGAACGATGTCTGCTGTCTGGTCTGGTCTGTGAGCGCCGCCACACATGCTGCTCCGCGCAAACGCAGCCTGTGAGTGTGTCCGAGTTCAGGAAAAGAAAGGGTTTGTTCAAAGAGAAAACCGTTCAAATTTCGAGGAAAAAACATTCCTGAAATACCAGAATCCTGGTGAGCCCCGAGGCTCAGTTTGATGATCTCGGCTGATGCTGTTTGTGGCGCGGCTGAAACCCCACAGGAAAGGCGGCGAGACAAGGGAGAATTACATTTTTCACATCTCTCCCGTTTTCTGAGTGCTACAACATGGGAGAGGAAGGTTTCTCCATCCTGGATGTCACACTTGAATAGATCCGTTCTGGAAAACGTTGGTTTCTATTGAAAAGGTTGATGTGGTGTTACAGAGGCTGCAGTAACGGGTATGCATGTGAACTTGCAATGACCCCGAGTCGTACTCACCGGGCCAGCCGACGTTTATGCACCCATTTCACTTCAGCAGCTGTAAGCCCAGTTTCCTCTGATTGCATCTCACAGTGAGGTTTTGTTTCAGGACATCCACCACATAGCTGAACTGACTCTCCTCACGGCAGCAGAACGTCGGTATCCCACTGTAATTAAGGAATTTACCCCCCATGTCTGTGCAGTGCGTTCACACAGGATCAGGCAGATTCCCAGACCAGATTCCGGGGCTTCCTTATATGATAATGCTCTTTGTAGCTGCCCCGATGCTTTAGCTCAATAATAATATCAGCTGTGACCTCCAAACTTCAACCTGACAAATCCTCAGAAAAAGCATTGTCAAAAGATTTTCCTTATTGAACTGATTCCTTTGGGGCAGACGTGTCCCACAGCAGCTTCAGGTACATGCCCAGCACCTGCCGAAGATCTGACCCCCCCAAACAATAACACTTATCTTCCTTATCTGCTCTGAGAAATCCCATAAAGGGAATTGGAAGACATTTCTCTGCCCGGAATTCTAAAAACAAACAAAGTTTTTGAGTTTATTGGGAGCAAAGCTAATAAAGTCAGCTAAGAAGAATTACGTGATGTGTTGTTGTGTCTGTGAATCAGGTCGACACTTTTCTGCTTCAGCGACGAGGAGAGAACAGAGAGCAGCCAGTCAGCACCAGTATGGACATGAGCGATGGCATGGGTGTGTGTGCATTTCACACGGGCCCATGTCGAAGGCTCCGGCTGCTGCTGTTTTACATTTCTGTCAGAATAAAAATAAATAAAAAGGCTCATGTTAGTTTATGGAGCCGGCCTAAACTACTTCCATGTTTTCATCTGCTGTCATGCAGTGGCGGTTTTACCATTAAGCATAGGTCAGCGGCCGCCTGGGGCCCCCTTATGTTGGGGGGCCCCCTAGCCCTGACTGCTGGCACCCCTCTGTTAATGCCACAATGGATTATTCCTTTTAAGACGGCTATGTGCAAACAGGAAGTGATTGGTAGTCATTCCACTCCAATCCAGTTGGTGGCAGTAATGCACCAAATTGTTGTTTGCCAAGTGCCATAAGACCACAAATAACAATAAGAAGAGAGGCGGCAGTGTCCGTAACAAACTCAAAGCGATAGTCAAAACATGAAGCATGAATGGAGTTATCCTAGTGGCTCCAATAAGAGAAAGAAGCAGCTTGCTTTAAAAAAGCTTTTATCTTCACTTCCAAAAGTGACATCGTTTTTCTATGTAAACATCAAAAGGTAGAAGAAAGGAAAGGCAATGGAAAATGTTTAAAGGGAGGAAAACAGAGACCAAAATGGAAAATAGAAAAAAAAAGAAAGGCAAAAGCACAGGAGCACTGACAGGAAGAAGAAAGCAGAGCAGATATTGAAGGTGCTCAAAGGGAGAGAAAGACAGGAAAAAAGAGGAGGACTAAAAGTGAAAATAACTCGTGTCAGAAGAGGAGAGAGTTTCGCAAATCCAGTTAAAGGTAAGATTGTCGAAAATTTAGTGTAAGGGGCCCCATGTCTCTGTTCGCCGTGGGCCCCCAATTTGCAAAATCCGCCACTGCTGACATGGAAACACACATACACCTCTATGAAGGTTAAACATTATTTACAGATGATGACATGTAAGGCGGGCTGCACAGTGGTGCAGTGGTTAGCGCTGGTGCCTTGCAGCAAGGAGGTCCTGGGTTCACATCCCGAACTCTCTCTCTCCAAGGAGTTAGCATGTTCTCCCTGTGCATGCGTGGGCACTCCAGCTTCCCACAGTCCACAGACATGACTGTCAGGTTAACTGGTCTTTCTAAAATTGTCCTTGTGTGTGTGTGTGTGTGTGTGTGTGTGTGTGTGTGTGTGTGTGTGTGTGTGTGTGTGTGTGTGTGTTCGTCCTGTGTGTCTCTGTGTTACCCTGCAATAGACTGGCAATCTGTTCTGCTTGCCCAATGACAGCTGGAGATAGACACCAGCCTCCCGCGACCCTGCATGTGCAAGCGGGTTACGAAAATGGACAGGTGGATGAGTGAGACTTCATTCATTCATTCATTCATTCATTCATTCATTCACAACTGACCCAAAAGCATGTCACATGAACTAATATTAAACAACCGCCTAACACTTAATGACTGAATACTTGTCTGTGTGTCGGTCCAGATGTTACAGATGCTGCAGCAGTGTAAAACCGCCTCCCTGCTTTCCTCCGGAGTGAATCCAGCGTTGGTTTTACCTGAAAGCATCATTAGCTCTGGCTGCTTTTATCCGAGCTGCCTGCTCGGGTTATAATGAGAGGGAAGAGCACCAACAGCTTGTTGCAGTGGCTCAGTCATAAAACATAAATACACCTCTAAAGCCGACACACGCTAACCCCACCACAGCAACAGAAAAGAGTCAGGCTGTGTTTAGCACAGCATGGTGTGTGTTGCTGCAGGTGTGTTTACACTGCAGCCTCGAGTCAGTCATGTCAGTACGGACCAGGTCTACGGTTGATAGTTACGGTGTTTCTGACCTGGTGAGTTGCAGCGAAACGCGTGGCCAGTGATTGTTTAACCGCGTTCGTTTCAACCCCATGCACGTCAGTAAAAGTGTGTGAGAGCAATAGAAAATTATATTTATAATAACTATTCTTTTATTTTGGTTTGACCTTTACAGAACTAGAGAGATGTCTTCTGCATACCCAATGTTATTTCATTCCTCAACATTTGAACCAATCGCTTCATTTTGAGCAGAAACGTTTACAAATCTGACTTTTTGAGGTTCCAGGAAGAGCCGAGCCCTCATTACTGGGGGAGAGGGGGGCACCACAGACAGGTCGCCATGCAGTGTTGCACACACACCCACGCCATTTACCAGTAAACGCATCATAAACTGAAACCCTAACAACAGTTTGCTGTTTAATTATTCAATTCAGCTTATTTATAAAGCACCAAATCACACACAGAGTCGTCTCAAGGCACGCCACACAGAAAACATTACAACTGAGTTCAGTTCAAATCAAACGTTTCCTACCCAAGAAAACCCAGCAGGCTGCATCAAGTCACTGACTTGTTGTGTCAGAGACTTCAGAGCAATCCCCATAGGAAACAAGCATGCGGTGACAGTGGAGAGGAAAACCGCCGACTGAACCTGGATCAGCATGAGCAGCCATCTGATGTTTTATATGTTTCATGTTTATAAACCAGAGAGCCGAAGCCGGAAACCCGTCATGTCAACGCGGTCCGGAGGCGGCGCTGGCGTCTCCGGTCAAACGGATCAGTATTCCAGAAGAATGGTCACCGCGTGCTCCAGGCCAAACAGCATATGGAGCGTTCAGACTGAAGTCAACTAAAGCCTGACTCGGTGACGGATCAGCAGCATTAAAGCAGAAGACGTCTGCTGCCCCCAGGAACCGATCTTCTGTCAGTTCAGAGAGGAGGGGACGGGTTCTGGACTGGACCTGCCTCTGATCCGCTACAGCTCTCAGAGGAGGTTCTAGCTGAATGAGTCTGGGGAGAAGAGACAGCCTCCACCTTTAAAACATGTGAAAGGACTGGATGGATCACAAATGGAAACATTATGACAGCAAATTATAACAAATATAAACCAAAAAAACTGGTTTTCTTTTGGGGGGAATCATCATACCTCAGTGACCTTCAGCGGTCTGAGGGGTCGATGTTTTACGTTCAAAACAAACAGCAAAGAAGCAAATTAAATGTTTGCTAAAGGCTTAATTTTAAGTACAGAAAGAGATGAAATCCTTCTTTTTTTTACAGGAGACAAGAAAACCCTGTCGGCTGGAGTCTAGATATGGTTGTTTATTTGGACTGACCTGCAGAAACCTCTGATCTCTGCCGCCCGGCGCTGTGGAGGGTCAGGTGAAGCCAGCTGTTGCTGATCTGCAGCTCAAGTTTCTGAGGACTTGGGCTGAGCTGCACAGAGAGCAGGAGCCCCTCCGGGTTCCAGGTCCTGAACTGGAAGCGAACAGAGAACTCCCCGGTGGCAGGAGCAGCAGACGGAAGCGACAGGAAGCTGCTGCTGGAGCTCAGGAAGGTGCACGCCACCAGCTGGGGCGGAGAACACGAGAAGGTCACATTGCCCTGGAGGACAACAAAAAGAAGAGGAATGCAGATTCACATCAGTCTCCAGAAGCGTGATGGAGGAGGGAAATTCCCAGTGGAATGTCTGGAAATCTCACACTGAGCCTTATTTTAAATGTCTAAATGTAATCAAAGCAGAATCACTTGAGTTGAATAACAGCAGTAAGATGTGCAGAAGAGCTGACATCAGTGAAGATCCTGATCAGCACATCAACATATTCATTAAGAACACTACACAGATCCAATCACAGTCCAAAAAAGGCTCTTTGATCAGGGATTTAATAACGTTCTAATCTGGGACTGATGGAGCTCTGGAAGCCTTTGTCTTCATGCACAACAGCTTGAGAATGAGCAGACAAAGTCAGAGTGATCAGTCATTGTCAGAAAGCAAAATGTGAAAAGAGATGAGATCCTGGCACGTTACGTAACGGTGCCGTTTGGTGGACATCTGAACTGCTCTCTTGTGAAAACACAAACATCCCCTTCGGCTGCAGCTTTTCATTCAACGCAACATTTACATTTAATCTTAATTGGGTGTCAGCTGCAGTCAAACCCGACCAATCACGACTGCTGAGGTCAGACTCCTATCAGTCCCCCAGCCTGCAGGGCAGCACACAGCAATCACAGCTCTCTCACTCTCAATGTGATTCCCTCCATCAGCCTCGGGGAGATGGTCCCATTGAAATTCCATTACAGCTTCCATCATTCCGGTCTCCTCCACCTCTGCCTCTGTTGTCAGTAAAGGCCTTTAATGCAACAGTTAAAGGCGCCGGGTGTCTCTGATGAGATGTGGCTTGTGGCTCTTTGGCCGACCCGCCTGATTGGAGTGGGAGGAGACCCTCCAAATGCACTCAGACTTAATCATATAGCAGTCAGGATCACAATGGATGTAATGATTGTTTATTCTTCACTCCTGCATCTGGCCAATCCTCATTTAAATCGGGACAATCAAAAGTCGTCAGCAAGGGAATAAAAACACCAATAAGCTGATGACATTCGAACAAGGGTAGCGCCACCACCAGGTCAGCCTCTGAACTGTTGACCTGCAGCTGTCATCCGCTGCAGTAATGTGTTCATTTAAGAACATGTATCCATCAGAGATAGTTGGCTCTCTTACCGATATACCGATAAGTTCATCACGGGAAAACATTGGATTAATACTTTAATGAATAGTACAAGTGAGCTACTGCTAAAAAGTTTCAATGATTCGAGTTTAGAAAACAGATCAAAGTGAGACATCCATCCATCCACCCATCCATCCATCCATCCATCCATCCATCCATCCACCCACCCATCCATCCATCCATCCATCCATCCATCCATCCATCCATCCATCCATTTTCATCCGCTTATCTGGAGTCGGGTCGCGGGGCAGCAGTCTAAGGCGAGAGGCCCAGACTTCCCTCTCCCCAGCCACTTGGGCCAGCTCCTCCAGGGGAATCCCAAGGAATTCCCTGGCCAGGTGAGAGACATAGTCCCTCCAGCGTGTCCTGGGTCTACCTTTAGGTCTCCTCCCGGTTGGACGTGACCAGAAAACCTCACCAGGGAGGCATCCAGGAGGCATCCTGACCAGATGCCCGAGCCCCCTCAACTGGCTCCTCTCGATGTGGAGGAGCAGCGGGTCTACTCCGAGCCCCTCCCAGATGGCCGAGCTTCTCCCCCTATCTCTAAGGGAGAGCCCAGCCGCTGTTCGGAGAAAACTCATTTCGCCCGCTTGTATTCGTGATCTCGTTCTTTCGGTCACTACCCAAAGCTCGTGACCATGGGTGAGGGTAGGAACGTAGATCCACCGGTAAATCGAGAGCTTCGCCTTCCGGCTCAGCTCTCTCTTCACCACCACAGACCGGTACAACGCCCACATCACTGCAGACACAGCACCAAGTACAGGTTCTTCAAAACTGTTCATTTGGACAGTTTTATCTCTCTTTCTAGCAGGCAGCTTGTGGTTCAGGAGACCGCTATGATTTCTCATCTGAACCCTTTTAATCTGAAATTGTGCTTAGATTAAGAGCCTGAATGCAAGATCTTCTAGAAGCAATGAGACAATTTTCTGTAGATATTTGCAGCGTATTCAGAATAACCTCCATAGTGGAAAAAATCTGATATTAGCCTTTAAATCCTGTCAATGGCTCTCTGAGCATTGTTCCCTCTCCAAGAATGACTGCAACATAAACCCATCTACACATGCGTAAACTGGAGCTCTTTACTGAAATTAGATCATCTCAGAATAAGGAGCCTTCTACAATGTTTCGGCTGACTTCATGTGAATCTTTCTTCAGCACCGTTGCAGGTGTAGTCCGTCCTTGTTGGGCCAGACCATCTTCCTGCTCTCTCTGTGCTGTCAGCTGGAACATCCTCCAATGAGACTAACGTTGTGTTAAAGATGTTTTCTGCTTCACTTTGCTCTGACTTAACCATCCACTCGTGTAACTGAAACACTTGGATGTTCAGTGTTTGTCTGGTGTGGATTATAGCCATCCTCACACCGTTTACGCTTTAGCAGCACGCCCACTAAACATCACCCACAGGTCCGACACACGTGTGCCCTAGCCACGACGTGTGCCAGTTTCTAACATTGTTCTGTCAGCGATGCATTTAAAAACTTTTCTTGGAAAATGTGTGTGTGTGTGTGTGTGTGCATGTCCCTGTTGTTCACCGGCCCCTCCCACTCCCAAAACTCTTTAGGAAATTTTCTGGCTGAAATCACTCTGAGAAAAGGCTTCATCTTGGGAGACTCCGGCCCCTGCCGAAGCGCCCCACGCATCACTGAAACACCACTGGTAAGAGTTACACACAAATGTAATGTACGGCTAAATGAAATAGTTAGGAGTGTGATATTTCTCCTCCAGTTACATCGCCCACTATTTCCTGCTCGCCTACACATGTGCTCTACGTGTTTTTTTCTCCTCTCTCCCATCGTTACATCAGATTCTTTTCCTAGAAGAGATTTGCCGTTGTGAGAAAAGCTTCAGATGGCAAAGCGCTGTTTCACATAACTGAGCTTTTAAAGGCATTAAATGTTTCCTGGAAGAGAAATAAAGACACATTCAGGCAGGGCCTTAAAAGTGTGAGCGATGCATTCAGAGTAACCCCAAATTCCCACAAATATAATGGAGTTTGAGTCATAAAGAGGAAAATCCATAAAAGATCCAAAATGTGGACAAAAATCTGAGTAAAAACCATGAAGCTCTCTTCAGCTGTTAGTAACCCATGTCACTTACCACGCTGTGTATCTGAGGCTTGCGTCTCTTTGCCAGGTCTATAACATTGATGCCGTTGTAGTAGAGGTTCTCCACGCAGCCGTTGAAGTTCTTCCTCAGAAACGTTCCAGGTTTACCCGGCAGAGGGATGCCTCCAAAGCTCAGCTGTGATCAGAGCAGAGCAGACAGGCTGTTCAGACTCATCTGTTCGCTTCTGTGGAGGATGAGCTGAGGTGAACACAGCACCAGAGAATTCTGGAGATAACACACACATTCTTACAAGTTTCTGCATGAACAACTGAGCCCGTTATTCATAACTTGAGAAAACATCGCCGCCTCACCACTGCATCCAAAGAGTAGAGGGCTGAAGTCGCACTGCTGCTGTGAAGTTGATTACATGGTTCAGTGTGCTTCTGCTAGGTCAAAGCACAGAGAACACACCTTCACACGCTGGCTGTAATTCCTGTTCTCAGTGCAGCAGTGGAAGAAACTCCAGCTTTCTGTTTTGTTCTTTCTTCAACATCAGCACCGTTTACCAGACATGCTGTAATTCAGTCATGGAGAACTGAACTGGCCTGTGTAGAGTTCTGACCTCCAGCTGTGAGTCAGAACTCACCCACCAGCATCGGGGCGCGGCCTGGGTGGCTGAAAGCTAATCCTGCCAGACGATCCATGCCTTAAAACTGTTGCATTTCTTCAAGGTGATGTCTGAGATGGAAGCTGTTATTACAATTTCCGTCGAGCTTTTTTACAAACACTACCAGGGTTATAAAACACTAAAATCTACCTCAGCTCTTTCCAGGTAAATCATTTGCACTTGATGGGCGTGAGAGTGAAATAATACTAAAACTTCTCTGACTGCTGTGGAGAAAACCTCCCACAGCTCCACCAGCCTTCTTCGTCTCATTAACAGATCTCACATCAAAAGCTTCTCTGCAGATGAATGGAAGAGGCTTTGTTTAGTGGAGGCTCCAAATCCTGGACAGTTACAGAGAATGTACAACAACTCTGATTTCATCAGGACAAGGAGTTAACCAGAGCTCGTATGTACACACACACACACACACACACACACACACACACACACACACACACACACACACACACACACACACACACACACACACACACACACACACACACACACACACACACACACACACACACACACACACACACACACACACACACAAACACAAACACACACACACACAAACACAAACACACACACACACACACACACATGAATGACATGCAAAATTTGCTTTCATCCGAAAAAAGTACTTTGGGCCACTGAGCAACAGTCCAGTGCTGCTTCCATGTAGCCCAGGTCAGGCGCTTGACCTGGGGAATGCGGCACCTGTAGCCCATTTCCTGCACATGCCTGTACACGGTGGCTCTGGATGTTTCTACTCCAGACTCAGTCCACTGCTTCCGCAAGTCCCCCAAGGTCTGGAATCGGTCTTTCTCCACAATCTTCCTCAGGGTCTGGTCACCTCTTCTGGCTGTGCAACGTTTTCTGCCACACTTTTTCCTTCCCACAGACTTCCCACTGAGGTGCCTTGATCCAGCACTCTGGGAACAGCCAATTTGTTCAGAAATTTATTTCTGTGTCTTGCCCTCTTGCTTGAGGGTGTCAATGATGGCCTTCTGGACAGCAATCAGGTCGGCAGTCTTACCCATGATTGTGGTTTTGAGTAATGAACCAGGCTGGGAGTTTTTAAAAGCCTCAGGAATCTTTTGCAGGTGTTTAGAGTTAATTAGTTGATTCAGATGATTAGATTAATAGCTCGTTTAGAGAACCTTTTCATAATATGCTAATTTTTTGAGATAGGAATTTTGGGTTTTCATGAGCTGTATGCCCAAATCATCAATATTAGAAACACTAAAAGGCTTGAACTACTTCAGGTGTGTGTAATGAATCTAATATATATGAAAGTCTAATGTTTATCAGTACATTACAGACAATAATGAACTTTATCACAATATGCAAATTTTTTGAGAAGGACCTGTATTTATCATTATTATTAGTAGCAGTAAAACACTTCCCAGCAAGTCACCACCATTTCTCAACAAGATCTTAACTGATGATGGTGGAGTCTGACCGCTGCACAAAGCCTTCTCCAGCTCATCCCAAAGGTTCTCAATGGGGTTAAGGTCTGGACTCTGTGGTGGCCAATCCATGTGTGAAAATAACGTCTCATGCTCCCTGAACCACTCTTTCACTATCTGACCCTGATGAATCCTGGCATTGTCATCTTGGAATATGGCCGTGCCATCAGGGAAGATGGAATAACCTGGTCATTCAGGATGTTCAGGTAGTCAGCTGACCTCATTCTTGGAACACATCCTGTTCCTGAACCTAGACCTGACCACCTGCAGCAAGCCCAGATCATAACTCTGCCCCCACAGGCTTGTACAGTAGGCACTAGGCATGATGGGTGCATCACTTCATCTGCCTCTCTTCTTACCCTGATGCGCCATCACTCTGGAACAGGGTCCATCTGGACTCATCAGACCAGTTTTAATAAAGCGTTGGGCAGTTCTGAACCCACTTTTAGTCGTTTCTGCATCTCCATAGATGTTTTCTCTGCTTGATGCCGTTGATCTGATCCTTCTCACACAGGCTGACGTCTTTTTCCACGACCATCAGATGTGTCTCTCTACATGGTTGTTTAAGAAATGAGAAGCAGCTCACTGCACCAGTTGGGTTAGATAACTTGTTGCTAGGGCTGTGTAGTATGTAGTATGGGGCGATGGTGGCACAAGAGTTAAGTGCTCGCCCCGCAATCGGAAGGTTGCAGGTTCGAGCCCTGCTCAGTCTGTCGCTGTCGTTGTGTCTTTGGGCAAGACACTTAACCCACGTTGCCTGCTGGTGGTGGTCAGAGGGACCAGTGGCGCCAGTGCTCAGCAGCCTCGCCTCTGTCAGTACGCCCCAGGGCATTGTAGCTCATCCCCACCCGTGTGTGAATGTGTGTGTGAATGGGTGAATGACTGATTGTGTTGTAAAGCGCCTTGGGGGGTTCCAGGACTCTAGAAGGTGCTATATCAAATACAGACCATTTACCATATTTAAGATCAATACTAGTGCAGTTAGTGTGGAATACCTGAATATTGTTGAAATAGTAAGAGGCAGAAGTGCATAGTGGGTCTGATTACCTGAGATCAGCTCCATAACACAAACATGGAATAATTACTTCCAGAGTTAAGACTTTACCTGCTCAGCTTCACGGAAAACTAACTTTACAGCAGCAGCTGATTCTGTTCTTCTAATCGCTGCTCGGCTCGTTGGTGCTATCTTTCTGCTTCAGGCCTCATTTGAGCTGCTCAGCTGAACCTGACACCTACTGAAGCAACACTCGCTTTCCTTACCGTGACTCGGGACAAGAGCTCAGCGGCACATCACCTCTCTGCGTGTTGGACTCAATCCTGCCAGTGCTGGCGTTCAGTCTTTGTGACGTGGACCACAACTGATCCCTTAATCAGGTTGTTTTTATATCTATATAACGTAATAGTCCGTTGGCCAGGCAGAGAGAACCTGGACTATCATAGGAGGGTTTGCTCTTTGTCATCTGAAAGTGTTTCTTCGAGCAGACTCTAACAGTAAGCTTCATTCGTGAGACTACTCATCAGTATGCCGTTGATCACGAGGTCGTTTGCTCCTGTACCTGTGAATATTCATGAAGTAATTCTGTCTCACTTTCACGTTGTTCCGTCCAGCAGAGCACTCACCTCGTAGTCCACCTCCAGAGAGTGTCCGTCTCCTTTGGTTTGGAAGTGCTGTGAGTGCGAGTCCACCGTGAGGTTGACCTGTTTGTTGAAGCGCTCCATGTGAACGGAGTGCCAGTGCTGGTCGTCCAGCAGGCTGCCCACGGTGACAGGAACACGGCGGCTGCTGAACTTTGACCTGCTGTCGTCTGCACCAACACAAAGACAGAAGCTCAGTGAGCAGCTGTTCACATGAACCTTGTCCAGAATCAGCTCATTTGATGCTGGTTGTGGTGAAACTATTGTCCAAAAGTGCTGCTGATTTCCTTCTTTTACCTGTGCTTGCCCA